ACCCGCCCCGGACCCGCCGTACCGTCGCCCACTCCTTCCTTCCCCAGCTCCGCTCCTTCCCCGGCCCTGCTCCTCCCCGGGTGAGCGGGAACAGCGCGGTTCTTGCCCGCAGGCCTGGCCTGACCTGGCCAGCCATGGGCTGATTCGGTGGAGGACAAGCTGTCAGAGACTGAGCCAGCGGTGTGGCCTGGCGGCCAGGAGGGCCAGTGGTGTCCTGGAGTGCACCGGGAGCAAGTCAGCAGGTCACCTGCAGGTCGAGGGAGCTGATCCTGCCCTTCTCCTTGGCCCTAGCAAGGCCACATCTGGAGTGCTGTGTCCAGTTCTGGGCTCCTCAGCACAAGGAGCTACTGGAGAGGGTCCAGGGCAGGGCAACAAAGATGATTTGGAGTCTGGAGCATCTCTCTGATGAGGAGAGACTGCAGGACCTGGGCCTGTTTAGTCTGGAGAGAAGACTGAGAGGGAATCTCAGCAATGTGTACGAATACCTCAAAGGCAGGTGACAGGGGGATAGTGACAAACTCTTTTCAGTGGTGTCCAGTAACAGGACGAGGAGCAGTGGCCATAAACTAAAATGTAAGAACTTCCACCTCAGTATGAGGAAGAACTTCTTTCCATAAGGATGGCAGAGCCCTGGAACAGGCTGCCCAGGGAGGTCATGGATTCTCCCTCTCCGGAGACATTCAAAACCCACCTGGACATATTCTTGTATAACCTGCTCTACATGACCCCTTGGCAAGGGGCTAGATGATCTCCAGAGGTCACTCAGCCTTTTTTCGTAAGATTCTCCAAACCAACTTTGTAGCCCTCTGCTGGACCTGTTTCAGGAGCTCAGTGTCTCTTAGTCCTGAGGAGCCCAGAACTGGACACTGCTCTCCGGGTGAGGCCTCACCAGGGCTGAGTGAGGGGCAGGGTCACCTCCTGTGACCTGCTGGCAGTGCTCCTCGTAATGCACCCCAGGACACCTGGGCCTTCCTGGCCACTAGGGCACACCAATGGTTGTCTTAATTCAGCCTCATGCTTTGATACCAGTTTGGCTTCATCAAATCTTAGTGCAGTCATTGAAATATTGGATAAAGAAACTGAAACATCTTGCTTTCAGGAAACCTTTCTCAACCAACGCAAGAAAACTACTTATTGCCCTGGAGACTGAGTTTCATTATGATCAGTGGAGAGATCTCATTGTGAACCCTTACAGCTGGTACACCAAAGGGAAGCTGAGTGGAGTGAATCATCATTAAAAACTTCTATTCACTCATCTCCAAATGTAATGTAAACAAATAATGTACATATGCATAATGTAGCACTTTGCTGCAGGCCTATGATTTAATAATACGAAATGGTTTGCCACTAGCAAACTGAAAGAAAAGGTTTAGGAACACAAGAAATGCTACAGGGTAGAACTAAATATAAGCAAATGAGGGTCTAGAGAACATTTTGTAATCTGACAGATGGGCTGAAAAGCTTCTGACACATCATTGGATGAGAATGGCTGCAGGGAATGGCCTGTGGTGCTGTAACACCTCCAGCCCCATATATGTCAGAAAGAAATACAGCTACATTCCTGAACTATATGTGTTGCTCAGTGACAAAATAAGTTTCACTCATTACCTGGAGTTGTCTTCACCATGCAGTATGTATCCTCCCTTTTCTAAACAAGAAAATGTAGAAAACTGACAAAGTCCAGTTTTTAGAGCCAGCTGTCAGCCTCGGGCCACCTGAGTGCAGAGGGTACCCAAGACACAGCTGCTGGCCCCTCAGCTCTGCTGGAAGCCTTCACTCTTCTGCACATCAGGGGCACCAGCTGCCTTATGGATGTCTGTCACATCCAGAAGAAGCTACAGGAACACACTGAAATCTTTTGCTGCAGTCTGTGCACTTTTTTGAGACAATACCGAAAATAAATATGATAAAGGGCTCACATATGCAATTGTATGACCTTAGCTCCCTACATAATTTGATTCAGAAACCGCAAGAAACATTACGCTGAGGTGGTGAGGACATAAGGTGAAGAGTCTGACAGAAGGATTTGTGTAACACTGTCTCTTTTAGGCCAGTGAGCACCATCGCAGTATATCAGTAGCACACACACCTGTCTGAGAAGGCACCGACTGACACTGAATGTAAAGAAGCTTAGCACGAAACTGTGACAGAATCATCTCCCCCTTTCTTAACTGCCCTTCAGCAATGAATCTGGGAACCAAGATCTCAGAACTGGACTGAGAAAATCGTAGCAGGTAATTTCATTTCAAAATCAAGATGATTGCATTCGGAATTATTTTTTTAAAAAACAGCACAATTCTTTGTCTTGGCTTTCTTCCACATGTTCGTATTTCCCGCATTCAGAAATGAGCGGGGCCTGAGGGCGGGGCCGGCTGTGTGACTGACAGCGGGGGGGGCGGGGGCGGGGCCGGCTCGCGCTCTTGCCCCCGCCAGCAGCCCGCGACCCGTGACGTCACACAGTCCCTCCGCGCAGTGACGTCACTTCCGCTCCACCACACGCACACCCTCACCCCCCCCGGTGACGTGAATGTGACATCACAGAGTAAGAAACTATTAACAATTTGCCCACAGGATTACGGGGAACGAGATGGGGGTGACGGGCCTTATCCTGTCTGATTGCTGCAAAACGTGGACTGTGTCAAAGTTTTCCTAAGAAAGGATGTTCTGTGGTTGATCTTTTTAACTTTCAAGCCCAAGAAGTAAGAGAGGCCATGAAACTTGTTGGCCCTGTTAAGGTTTAGGGCTGGATGTGTCTCAATGATCTCAGCCCTGGGGGAGGGTATCACACCTTGGGTGGAAGGATTTCCACTGGCAGTGAGGACAGGGAATGCAGAATTTAGGGCTCACACGGACATCTGGCAGAACTCCCAAGATGACGAAAGCACTAGTAAAGGCAGCTCAGGACCTGGGCTGAATCAGCTCCCACTGGATACAGGCTGATTCCAACAGGGGTAGATCGTGAGCACTGACCCCAGAAACCCCCCAACCACAGGAAGAAGAGAAAGAGTGAGCACGGGATCAACTAGCATGAGAAGTAAGAGAGTCATTAAACAGTGGAATATAAAGAGAGAGTGATTAGACATTGGAATGGGCTGCCCAGAGAGGTGGTGGAGTCACCATCCCTGGAGGTTTAAGAAGAGGCTGGATGTGGACTCAGTGCCATGGTCTGTTGACAAGGTGGTGTTGGGTCATAGGTTGGACTCAGTGACCTTAGAGGTCTTTTCCAATCTAACTGATCCTGTGATTCTGTAATTAACAACAGAACTATGTAACTTGTAGCCAGTGGACATTAACACCTTTGTTTGCTGAAGTGTATAAAGAGTGACAGCTTTAGACAGTCGGTGTGCTGGATTTGTGGAAGCGTCCACCTTCCACCCCCTGCAGAATAAACAACGTCTACTCTCTAAACCTGACTCTGTGAGTTCAGAGAGCTCCCAAAAATGTCCCTCTTGCTCTGTCAAACCTGCTGGTTCTCATGACACCACATCCCTCCCCCACCATGGTGACACCTCTCTCATGCTGTCACCAGGTAATGCGGGGCCAGAGAAGGGCTCGGTCAGCCCACAAACACTCCGTCCAGTTTTCAATCACCCTTACATTGCCCACCCTGCCCCTCTCAGCACCGCGATGGTCTCCGGGCCCTCACGGCCTCGGCCATCGCACCCTCACACTGACGGAATCACAGGGCGGCTTCTGGCGCTTCCACAAAGTGTTTCTTTTTCACAAACCCAGCGGGTCCCGCATGAGGCTACAGAGGGGCCCCCCTGCCCTGCCCAAGGGCCAGGAGAGTGACTTCTGCAAGGGTTTCGCAGGATGTCTGTGGGTGTCCGTGCTGGGAGCTGAGGGGACGCTGTTCCGGGCAGGGGGGCTGTGGCCACGGGCGTGAGCGGGGCCCAACAACCCCTTCCCTTCACCCCATCCCAAAACAGCCTCCTTTGCCTCCAGGGCACGGGCCAACATGTAGCTGACCTTCCTCTGGTGGGCCAGGGCCTCCTCCTTGTCGTTCACCTGAGGGTGTGTTAACACAGAAAGGAGAGAAAGACGTTGGTCAGCTCAGAACAGTGTTTGTAAACTGTACGTGTGCTCCCCCCGGGGGTCACGGTGAACAAAATACTGACCAAATCTATCAGCAATGTCAGGATCTCGTTGGGGTTGTCGAGCTCCTCCACCCTCCTGCAGTCCCCACCCGAGGAGAGCAGGCTGGACAGCTTTTGACCCAGATTGTTCTTGTTGCCTTGTAACTTGAGACACTCTAAGGAAAACAAAAGTACATGAGCCGTGGAATTCATGGTAATTAGTTTTTAAACAGTAAGTAGCCTGAAAAAACCACAGATTCTCTGACACAGGCCATTTGCAAGATTTCTAAAAATATTAAAATACATTAAAATTATGGGTCATATGCGCCAGACTACAGAGCTTGAAAGCGATGATGTTGCTGTAGGGGAAGTCAGGGTGTTTGCTCTTGTAGTACCACATCCCAAGAGTGCTAGAG